AAACTCGGGTGCATGGGGGGTGGGGGGGGTGGAAGTAAGGGAAGATGGTCAGGGAGAGGGGAGAGGGGGAGGATTGAGGATGGCTTGGGGGAATGGGAGGGGGGAGGGAGGAAGGATAGTTGGGGGAGCAGGGAGGTTTATATTTCAGCTAAGGGAGCCATTTTAGGGTGTGAAAGAGACTTGATTCTGGAGGGGTTCCCAGTAAAAATTAAATAAAAAAATTAAAAAAAATTAAAAAAAATAATAAATAAAAGAAAAGAAAACGCTTTACTGAGTCAGTTAAGCCAGACCAAAAAAGAGGAATATGGTATGTATTCACTCATAAATGGATTCTAGCCATAATTAAAGGTCTTTGAGCCTATTATTCCTGATCCTAGAGAAGCTGGATAGGAGGGTAAACCTGAAGAAAATTCAGGCAGTTTTCCTCCTGGAGATTGGAAATAGACAAGAGTCCCAGGTAACCTCGGGTGCATGGTGGGGTAGGAGGGTTGTTGGAAGGGGAGAGGGTTAGAGAGAAGGGAACAGGGGAGGAATGGGGAATGATCGGGGGACTGGAAAAAGGGGAGGGAGGAAGGATAGATATGGGATCAGGGAAGAATATATCTCAACTAAGGGAGTCAGTTTAGGGTTTACTAGAGACTTGATTATAAATGGGATCCCAGGTCCAAGGAGAGATCCCCAGATTGTTCTCTGGACAGAGGAGAGGGTGCCTGAACTGGCCTTGGCCCATAACCATACTGATGAATATTTTGCTTATCACCATAGATCCTTCATCTGGCGATGGATGGAGATTGAGACGGAGACCCACATTGGAACACTGGACTTAACTCCCTAGGTCCAAACGAGAAGCAGAAGGAAAGAGAACGTGAGCAAAGAAGGCAAGATCAGAGGGAACCTTCATCCAATGGATGGCGATACAGACGGAGACCCACATTGGAGCACCGGACGGAATCCCCCAAGGTTCAGATGAGGAGCAGAAGGAGGAAGAACATGAAAAAAGAAATCAGGACCGCGAAGGGTGCGATCACCCACTGATACAAGGGGACTGATCTAATGAGAGTTCACCAAGGCCAGTTGGACTGGGACTGAGCGAGCACGTGATTCAACCAGATTCTCTGAATGAGGCCGGATTCTCTGAATGCGACTGGCCCGGAGTCTTTATGAAAAGCCATTGACAATGACACTGGGGCTTGTTTCCTCTGCATATACTGGATTTTTGGGATCCAGTCTGTTTGGATGCTCACCTGCCTGGACCTGGAGGGAGGGGGGAGGAGCTTGAACTACCCACAGGGCGGGAGACCCTGACTGCTCTTGGGGATGGAGAGGGAGGAGGAGAGGGAGTGGTGGGAGTGGGAGGGTGTTGGGAGGAGGGGCGGAAATGGAGACTTTTGTATTTTAATAAACTTTGAGAAAAAAAAAAGATAAATAAATGGGGCATTCTCTTCTTGAGGATGACTCGCACTCTGAAAAAAAAGCAACAAGAACAACAACAACAACAACAACAACAACAAAAAACACTAAAGAAGGCATTTCTTTTCCAGGTTGGGAAAGGCATTTGTTTTTCAAGAACCTGATGGATTAGATGTCCCATACTTTGCTAAATTTCCTGAATGTACAGATCTACATGCCATAAAAACTTTGCAAAAAAAAATTTAGCTATTTCATTTGGTCGATATTCCCATTTACCCCCCAACCCTTACCCGACCCTTACACTTTGGTGTATGTCTGTGCCTAATCAATTGTAAAACCCATGGTCAGGGAGAATCTCAAAAAAATGCTAAGCAGGGGAAAATTAGTTGAAACATTTTCTCTATTAGAATTTAATAAATATCACATTATTTCAAGGATCAAATATCTGAATCTTTACAACAATTTAATAAACAACATCTTACTTCAAGGATCAAATATTTGACATGGCACCAACATTAGGCTTAGCTTTACCCTTTGCAGAAAATCCCCAAGGAGCCCTTGTTTTGAATGCTGGTATTGTGTATCTTAGCTTATTTGACCAAGCACATCCACCAAATTTAGTACACGTTACCTACCCATTGGAGCTCGGTTCACCGGGCTATGGCACTTACCTATGAATCTAATGATCCTTCGGAGTAACGGGTTCAGATAACAGCATTCCCCTGTAAGGATTGTTTTCTCCTCAGCAATCAGGGATTCCCTTGTTGACTTTATGAAATACATGGATATTTCACCAATAAATATCTGGGGAAGGAATGTTAAAGAAATATCAAGAAGGAAATTTGTTTGTTTAAAGACAGAACAGGGATCTATAAAATAACTTGCAAGGAAATTGCATTCCTATTAAAATAAAAGATACCATGTCAATTGGGGAGATGGTGGGATAGATACTCTCTCGCATTTAACTTTTTTTTTAATTTTTGAGACAGGGTTCCTCTGTGTAACAGACCTAACTGTCCTGGAACTAGCTCTTGCAGACCAGGCTGATCTCAAACTTAGAGATCCGCCTGCCTCTGCCTTCTGAGTGCTAGGATTAAAGGCATACGCCACCACAGACTGGCTGTATTTAATTCTTAAAATGAAATTGGAGAAACCAATATTTGACCATTTAAGATACAACTCTGGGAAAAATATTAAACTCTAAGGTCTTATGAAATATAAACCGAAAGAACAGTGTGCAGTGCAATTTATGATACAGCTTGTGGCAGGATTAAATGTTTAATTGACTTTGGAAATTGCAACAATGAAGAATGATTCAGATAGCTAATAATTCAAGAAAGCTTAATTCTACATCTCATAATACATTATTATTAGCATTATAAATACTTATTGGATCGTCTTTGCCTGAGGTGTGTTTCTACTACACTGAAGTGGTTTGACTGTTACTTCTTTATTACTAAATCCCTCTCTTGCTTCTGGAACTAAACCCTTTTAAATCACCATACCCTTACATTGTGTGGTAGTTTGAATATAACTAGCCCCCATAAGCTCATAGGGAACGGCACTGTAAGGAGGTGTGCCTTGTTGGCGGAAGTGCGTCACTGTGGGGATGGGCTTTGAGGTCTCCTATGCTCACATTATGCCCAGTGTCTCAGTTCACCTCCTGTTGTTTGCGGACCAAGATGTAGAACTTTCAGCTCCTTCTCCAGCACCATGTCTGCCTTCATGCCACCATATCCCACCATGATGATAAGGGACTAAACTTCTGAACTGTAAGTCAGCCCCAATGAAATGTTTCCTTTTATAATCGTGGCATCTCTCTACAGCAATAGAAACCCTAACTAGAACCCAAGGGTTGTAAGTTATTTGATATCAGTCTCTATACTGATATTTAAAAATTATCCTGCTAGCCCAAAGCACAGTAGACTGACATATAAAATATGGACTAAGCATGGACAAAATTTAATAAAAACCTTGGCACGGCTACAATTGAAGATGGAAGTTAACAACAAAGAGTAAAAGTTCACAATCACCACCATCCATTAAATACTAGGCACATGGCACTTCAGCGTGTTGACATGCTCAGAAGATCCCTAGCCTAGAAATAAATGTTTTTTTCTCCCTGGAGAGCCATGGAGGTTCTCTAAAGCATACAGGTGGCACATAAGGGCACTGGGTCCAGGTCAACAAGACTCCAACCCTACACTACCAATGGACAGTGCAGAGTTGTAACTTTTATAATTCTTTTCCAATTAATAGTCAGAAGATAATACTTTAAAGATGTTTGTCTTTGCCTTCATATAAACTGCAAGTTTGGAAAAAACCTTTCATCAGTGTTTTAGGAATCCCCATGTTTTATATTAATTTTTAAATATATTTAAATATATGAATGTTTTGCTTGCATATGCATATATACCACATGCTTGCCTAGTGCCTATGGAGGTCAGAAGAGGGCATCAGATCCTCTGGAACTGGTGTCTGGGATAGTTGTGGGGCGGTGTGTGAGTGTTGGTAATCAAATCCAGGTACTCTGCAAGAACAAGTACTCTAAACCACTGAGCATTTTCTCCAGCAATCCATCAATCTCTGTAGCATCCCATACCTTATATACCTGTCATTATAGAGTATCTACATAAAAATAACATCAAAGGATATACTTGAAAAACTAAAATCTAAAAAGTTCAAAACCAAGATCATTTATGTGTTTGTTCCTTCTGTTTGGTGGTGAGGTTACAGATCATTTCAGAGACTTCGACACACAGATTGTGTCTGGAGCAGTTCTAGAAAGTGGCACTTGATTCTATTTTCACTACCCCCAGAAATCTCATACTACAACATCACAAGGACCTCTCAGTAGCTAAAGTCCTGCACTTAACCTGTTTGCCTACTAGTGTTTTTCAGTATTAGTTACAAATTAAAATCTTTGCTACTTTGTACAAGTGCAGTATTCAAGAGGTGGAACTCTGAAGCCAGCTTTTCTTAGTTCCAAAGCTGGCCCTTTTAACCTTGGGCACACTATTTAACCTTTAATTTTTTATTTCCTTTATTTGTATAATCAGAATAGCAGAATTATTGACTTGTGTATGTGCGCATGCACATATGAATGCATAGATATACATTATAAATGTATACATGTATATTGGTGTGTATTCATATATAAATTGTTTGGAACAATTTGTATCTTTATATGCACCATAGAAGTAAGTAAAGTTGTTATTATTGTTTGATAACATATAGCATCTTCTCTGTATTCATCTTTACTGTATTTACATAAATACATAGATACTGTGTGTATGCATGTGTATAGGTGTGCATACATAAACAAATTGTTCAGAACACTGACTCTTTATATCCACTATAGAAATAAGTAAGTTGTTATTGTTGTTTGATAAGTTAGATAGGATCTTCACTGTAGTCATTATTACTATAATGACATAAATACGCAGATAGACACTGTGTATATATTCGTGTGTATATACTTATATAAATTGTTTAGAACACTATTTGAATCTTTATATGCACCAAAGAAATAAGTAAAATTGCTATTGTTGTTTGATAACAGAAAGTGTCTGCACTGTAGTCATCATTGCTATAATTACACTATTACAATAAAGCAATTAACTAAGTCGCTGGGGAAGCAGATTCCAGGATAAGCATAGTCTACTGGGAAAGTAATAAAAAACGGAGAATCCAAGATGGAAGAAAGTGTAAAATGTAACTCCTAGCTAAGAGACTCTGCTAATTCTGATATAGCTACATCATTTATTGATACATAAGTGAAATATATATCATATGTATATATTTGTGCACAATCTTAGACCCACAAATGAGAGTAAAACCTGAACTATATATTTCTGAGTCTGACTTATTTTGCTTAAAATAATCATCACTACTTGCATCCCTCAAGCCTAATGACCCGAGTTGAGTCATCATGACCTGGGACCTACATGATAGAAGAAACGAATTGATTCTTACACATTGTCTTCCAATTTTTTCATACATGTATTGTGGTATGTGCATGTGTGCTTGCAAACACACACACACTCTAAATAAATGGAATTGAAAAAAATTGAAGAATGTGAAACTGATACAAAAATAAAAAAATTGCTGCCAACATTCAAATCACAAAGAAGGTATGAGACATAAAAGAGAACAAAATAAAACAAGGGTATATTTTATGTATATATTTGTAATGAAGTCCATTATGTTGTATGCTCAATAAAAATCAATAAAGAGAGAAAATGCAAATTGGATATTTATATCCAGATACTGGCAATGCCTGAAATATACTAAGTGCATCCCTAAGTACTAAAAGAGAGAAGAAGGGGTGAAGGGGTCACTTTATAGTCAAAATGGACTGACATATACCTGACTTTTTATAAAACTTTGATGGGCATCAAGTTGTTGATGAGCAATCCAATTCCTTCAACAATGAATGGACTTTATGGACAGCCATCTCCCTAACCACACATCCCTTTTACTATTTCTCCATTCACTGGGTCTTCCATTCTCGTGGGTGTTTGTGGAGGGCGGCTGAGTCTGCTTGGAGGCTGCAGGGCTGTGAAGGTAAAGGATGGCTCTGCTCTCTGCCAAGCTCGTGCCCACAGTTGATGCCATTTGCTCATAATGGCAGATTTACGGCTCTGGCTTTGGCAGTGCATTGGCCCCTCCATCTGTACTTCTGCTGGACCACCCTATTTCAATCCATCATCTCTACAAAGAGCATCTGGAGCATGTGGGAGTTTCCATGTGTTCAGTGTTGGCTGTCTTACTTGTTTAGACCTCTCTGATTGTTGGCTAACAAAATACACATCAATCATGGCAAATTAGGGTGTCCTCCAGTGAGAAGTGGTCAAGGCCAAACTGGCTCTGGCAAGAATGAAGATAAATTCCATTAGTGATTTTTCATCTTCTAGCTCTGCTATTCACAATTCCAAGTGACTCATGACCTTTGACACAGTAGCAAGTGTACTTTAAGTCAGGAGGGCAGCTGCCATGTATGATCAGATATCTTCTACATACAAAATTCAAATGCAAATATGTAAACCATATTGAAAAATGGTGATCAGTTTTTGTGTTTTATCTTTCTTGATGCACTATTCAAGAGACTGAAACTACTTTTGACAGATAAAATTGTATGCATTTATTATGTTCAACAAGAATCTCTAAAGTGCATTTATATTGTGCAACGTGTGACTCTAGCTAGGTAATTAACATATGTCTTACCAAACATAGTCACTACTTTGTAGGTGCAAGTATTTAGCATCCACTCAGCATGTCTCAAGATCACAACATGTCGGTAGTCATGTTGTACCCTGCTCTAGTTTTTTGGAACGTACTTAGTTAACTGAAATTTTTAATCATTTGAACAATATATCCTCAAGCCCTTCTCCCTAACCACCTAGGACCCTGACAATCATTCTGTTCTGTGTTTTGGTGAGGTTAACTTTTAGATTCCATACATGAGTGAGATCGTGTAATGTTTATTTCTGTATTTGGTGAATGCCACATAACAAACTCCTCCAATCTCAACCATGTCACATATGACTTCCCAAGTGTTTATACTTGACTGGTATTCCATTGTACACATCATATTGTATTTATGAATTTATCTCTTGATGGATATTTGGAAGAATTTGACACCTTGGGTAGTATGAATGAGGATGTACTAGGCATGGTAGTATAGATTTCTTCAATATACTGACTTCATTTCCTTTGGGACTGATGGACCACATGACATGACTTTACTAATTCACTTTGTTATAAGGTCCCCTGTTTGCTACATCTTCACATTTGTTTTCTCT